ACCAGCTATAATTATACCCAGCACCTATAGCACACTTCTTGATCAGACCAGTTACGCCTGGCGACGCATCACCACCATTATACAACCGTAGCCTTGTAATGAAGCACTGCTGTTTCGATCTTGCACACTTGGCTCCGTTCCAACCAGCAGTACACACCGTATGCATCGATCGGTGAACTTGCCTTGTGGCGTGTCGCAGGTTGACTCTTACTCAATCATCCGCGCGTTATCCAGCGTTTGCGCGATGGACGACACTGGCAAGTACACGTGTATTAATATGCATGCATACGGGTCGTCCTGCACTCATCTGACCGTGTGGGACATTTTGTGATAGACCGAAATCTACTACTGGACAGTTTGCACTTTAGTGCGCTCTACCACACACCTGAATGAGATATACTGTCCCGTATAACCAGATAAGTGGATCAGACTCTCAGGAATTGCCATATGTAGATGACATCAATGCCGCTGCCACTGTTGGTTATCCCGGTCCAACTGCACCTGGCAAGCAGTAGGTTGGTAGTGTTGACAGAGTCCATGTTGCTTCATAGCTATAGTTTTAGACCTTTCGAAGAATTCCATTACTGCCTTAGCTATGATCGGTTTCATTACTTTTATAGCACTGAGAGCAAAGGCATTGGGCGGTAGTTAGCTTGTTCTGTAGGGCTGCAACTTTCGAAAATTGAGGTAAGGATATCTTTCTTCCACATGCTAGGGACCTGCTGTTCGTCCAGGCATATTTATCAATATCCCGTTTGTGGTTCAGCTTTCATTGTGGTTCGTACCTACAGTGCTTTCGGGGGAATGTTGTCAAATCCGGGGAAAAGGGTGCGCAACGTATCAGCTTGCTCAACATGGTCGCTGTGTAAACATGGCATGTGTACATACTGGTTTATATTAGAATGAGACAGGTATGTTACAGATGTTGGGAGAACGTCGGAACTTTGAAGCATATTTTAGTTGTAGCACGTTGGATGCATCCTCGACGCTTTGAACACATCCATCCGTTGATATTAGGGGGAACACCAAGTTCCTCATTCCTGCGGCTGTTCACACATTTGTGCACAAGCTTTTATTAACACAACCTTTACGCTAGACTGCCGTTGTACTAATTTTTCCTAGCGCACATGTTTGTTGCAGTGATTACGATGCACAATATCGTTAGTTTACTTGTCAGGGCAAAGTTTCGCTGTATACTCATGTTACGCAGCGTCTCTTACTCTCGAGGCTTTTTGGGTTTAGGTCAAAAGAAGTGATTCTGCTCTAGTAGAAGGATGAGGTTTATTGACGGATGCAGTGTAATACAGATCACTGAAATTGTTTGTAAAATCCAACAAAACACATTCAATGGAACAGCCTTTCGGAAACTCCCAGGCGGCATCTCATAAAAGTTCTGCCAGTATGTCGTAGTGGATGGTTGTTCGAAACAAGTGCGTATATTTTTGTGGATACTCCGCATAACACACGAAGTCGCAGGTTATGGTTTCTTGGTCGCTATGACCCAAAGGACTCTCCAGTTTTGGTTTCTTAATCACCAGCTCATTATTTTTGAACAACAAATCAAGCACATGTGGTTTATTTCTGGCTTTGATTCGGGTGGGTGAACTGATATGGCCGCGGAGCGGAACGTTTGCAAGTTACCTTTGCAGGTCAGCCTAAAACTGTTTGTCGGGGGATTCCGGAACTTACAAATCCTGAAGATTGAATCCAACTGAGATGAGAACATGACTGTATCCTACTCGTAGGACCCTTCTCAAGGATAACACTGTGCGGTAGTCCATCCCTAGGGTGGACAATGCGGGACTATAAACAACGTCTAAAAGGCAAGTGTCGTTGCGTAACAGCGGCAGACTGCACCAGAGTGAGTCCATAATAAGCACATCTGGATCGGACACCGGTTCGCACTGCAGGTCATTGCAGTTGTGTAATATTACCCACGGCCTTTGCTAGAATGATCGTTTCGGTAACGGAGCATAAAAATTATCGCAAATTCTGCATCGGAATTGTCTGAATGCAACCAGGTTTCCGTAACGAGTATGAGGACCCTGGCATGTGATGCTTGAATTAGCCGCTGTTCGGCAAGGTTGTTCAGGGATGTTGTGCATTATTTTCCAGGCACCAAAGTTACTCCGTTTTTTGCAAATAATTGTAGGATGGGTGCTCTGGATAAAATGTTGTGCCGACCGCTAAATTGTCGGCAAATATTCGTTTTTGGTAGGAGGATGACAAGCTCATCTTTGTCCGCTTTATCGATCCTACTATTACCACTTGTCTTCGCTTGCTTTGTTTGTAATTTAGCGGGGATGTTTTTGGTTTCGTTGGTTACTTTATGGCAGTTATCTGCAACCTTGTCGATAAGTCACCTGAATAAGTGGATGCTCCCGTTTACTTGCTTAGAATATGATGCTTTGATCCAGAGCTAAGAAGAGAGCCTGCTGCGGCTCGTATACCATACCTCTACTACCATTGCTGATCTTTGTCTAGTTGAATGACCACTTTCACAATACTCAGGCTATAACCTTTGTAGGTTGCCGATCGATACAGCCTCGATACTGATTGCGCTATGACATTTGCCATGGTGAGGGTCTCGCTAATCTAACGCCACTGTTGCTGGTAGTGAATGGCCGCTTCGCGCTCATCATAACTTCCTCCTCGTTTTTTGTCCAAGCAGTGTTGCGCTTATCTGCGCTCGCTGTACGGAATAGTCGGGAATAGTATGGAACATGACCCATCCCGGAGGCGAGCAGTCGATAATAAGACTGCTTCTGCTTCATTGGCAGAATTCAGCACAATCCGGTGAAGACTTGGTTCACCGTAGTGCTGTAAGTTTGGGTTACGGGTAACGCGTGCCAACATTACGGGCATAGCTACAACACCTCGATTATCACACATGCATTTCCACTGGCTTACCTCATCGCAATGTTTTCCTTTTAACGAATTTGATGTCGATTCAGGAACCTTGATACAGATTACCTTGGTATAATACGTGCAACTCTGCTTGAGGTCAAGCAATCAGTTGGTCTGTTGACACTCGATAAAGGTTGTTGGGTACAGCTTTGTCATTTTCTTATGGGTGCAGTGGGGTGGCCAAATATCTAGTTTTTCGGTCACATTTGGCAACAACCTACTTACAAAACCACTGGTGTCGAAGCCCATTTGAATTTTCGGAACTGTTTGCAGCGTGGACGACGCCATGACCGTGCTCATTCCATTCAGACTGGCGGCGGTTGGTTTAGGCATGGTTGAGAAAATGTTGGTATTGACCTTCAGTGCACCAGATTATGTATTTTTAGCGCGCCGTCTAGCTTATACCTCAGGTTCAATGGGTATATGATGGGAAGGACGGATTCACTCTATGTAAGTTTTTCTACAATCGAATCGCTTTTGGTACCTCCCATTTGTTCAAAAATCGCTACTGTTTTCGTACTTCTGCGATAGTCCATGTACGAACTTTATCAGTAAAATGACTATACACACGGAACAGAACCCCAGTGAATCTGGTTTAGTTTGTGTAACTTCAACTGATTCACTATAAGCTTGGAACATTTGAGATGGAACTTGCCTTGGCGACTGCTACACTGATTCCGATCCGTATATTTGTATGATATGAAGGAGGGCCACAAAGTAATGTCGATCTGGATGCCATGACATGGGCTATTAATTGGTCGCCACAATTAATTGCATCGATCGGTGGCATTCCCAGAGGCCTGCGCGCTTATGATTTCCTGCCTTTCGCGTGTGCGTTGAAATGTCTGCGTGTTCAAGTTGGTCAAGTTCTGTGCGTCTGGTCAAGTTAGGGGTAAGCATAAGATGCCAGATGGTTCACGCGGCAAACAGAGCGACTGAACGATACGGAGCCAAAGTGTACGATATGAAATTTGATGAACAGTCCACAGCTGTATTTTCTGATTCATCAGATGGAAAGTGCAGTCGGCTTAAGTCTGAAAATAGAACTATTTCTGTATGGTTCGTGATTCGAAAAATTCCTCGACTGTGGCTTTGCAAAATGGTGCAAACACCCGCAATGGGCAGAAAAAAGACGATCCACACAAGCAAGATCCAAAAGATAGAGTATACTAGACAGCGCAGATGAAGCTAGGTCGAATGAGTGTGACCACACATTTATGTGATAAAATGGAATTTAAAAGACGGCAACACAACGGGTTCACAGTTGAGCGACTGGAAGGCAGGCCCGTTAAAGGTTGTTCATTGTCAGGATACCAAGACGAATGATCATAATATGTTATCTTATAAGGTGTTGCCAGCGCTCTGGAAAAATATCTAACATTTGCTTTTAATTTAGCCGCCGGAATGAATGGAATCATCGGCAATGTTAACGAAATAAACAGAACACTGTGTATGTGTTATTAAATAAAGTATGCAAAAGGCAGCATAATTGTGAAAAATGAATTTCCAAATGGAGTGAGTTTTTGAGGACAGGTTTTAGAGTTTTCCGATGCACCGCTGGTTGCGTCAATACTTTTTGACTTTGTTAGCGCGATGAGAAAGGTAGATGGGTGGCAGAGTTAGTAAAGCTACACGAAGCCAGCTGATGAATGGAGAATTAGACCAACAAGGTTTTTCTACTACTGAAAATTTGGTTCTCTGCATGAATGGTTTGTGGATTTAAGACGGATATAATTTGCCTGTGCAGAAGCCTTGCAGAATAGCAACTGCCACAATAATAGTGTCCATAGGTTCGCTTTCCCTGAATCCGTTTTCAGGTTCCAAGCATTATTTTGATGTTTACATTTTTAGCAAAATTTTACATATCAGATGATTTTACTGTTTCCTAGCCTGGACTGTATGCAGTTGAGAATCTCTATAATAGTGGCTGGTCCATTTGACTGGGGAATATGCACCTTTAATCTATCGAGACAAACCATAAACGTAGATGTGTAGGAAATCGTTTCGTTTAGTATTGTGTCAACTGGTATATTCATAAATGTTCTTTAGAGATCGAATAGTCTTTCTTGACTCCATTATGTTTTTCTTGATAGGTTTCCAATTTGAAGGGCTCTATGAACCAGGTAATATTCAAGGTAAGCAATGTAATGCAACAAATTTCCGCAGCATTTTAATATAAAGTGATTCGTCGACATTGTTGTGATTTGTTAAGAACGAGTGTATAATTAAGCCTTGTGCTCTGGTGAATTAGAACCAGAGAAGGTCCTGATCAATTGAAAACGTTCTGTTTTACCGGGTCTTAGGCGTTTCGGTTCAGCAAATTGACATTTTGCACTTTAATACTAATGATTTATAACTGAATATACCTAAGTTGGAGTGTGAAGCGGAAATCAGTGTAAAATCTAAAATAAACCATTTTTTCTTCAAAGTGGTCTTGAGTTGCAACCCAGCTCAATATATTTCCATCCGCTGAGTTCAAAGGAGGACAAACCCGGTAATGGAGTGTTAGGGTTAAAAGAAACAACATTGAACCACCAATTCATACACGGTTCTTGTGATCGTAATGACCGTAGTTTATTTCAAATAGGAAAGAGCTCTGATTAGAGATTGTGAGTCGCAATCCAACCAAACAGCAGTACACAAAATGCCATTTGGAATTCTTTGCCCGCTGTGCCATGCTTTCTTCGCAGATCTTAAAGGCATAGTGGTCAAGGTGTAAACCTTTGAAAACTAAGCCTCGAGGTCCACCTTAGTTCAGGCTATGTCCATCTGTTGTGTCCAAAAGAGGACGCAGCCGTTTATGAGGTGTCAGGGTTCGGTGGAGCAACACCGAACTACCTATATTTTCTCCAGTTTCTTTTCGACATAAGTAGCAAGCAACCCGAAATAATAAATTTACAACTTTTCACGAACTTCTGCTTCGAGCATGAATATTCGATCAACAATTTAGGCGACAATGAACTGCAACTTTCACCGACTTTGCAGATGTATGTAGTCAATTGAGATGACAAATTTTACGTAGTACAGCCGTCAAATCTGCACTGAGTAAGTTGTATTTGGTTGTGGTTGTCTTGGTCGACATCGAAGTAGGTAGACTATGTAGGTACATAATCCGATGCATGTTTTGTGCATGATGAAATAAATAGTGCGGTTTGTTTAATGCTACAGCCTTGCTTCAACAGAAGGTATTTAACTGCTAGTTGTCAATGCATTGGTTGCGACATAAATGAGTTGTGTATTTTTGCTCATTAATCGCTAACTTATTTAAAAGCTAATTCAAAAATTCTATTCATTCATTTCATCTGTCTGCAGAAGATGAGCTACACACCTCCACTGTGGCACCAGGTTAGTTAGTTGCCCAGTTTTTAAATCGCTAAGCGCAATTCTTCTTGTTTCTGTCCGACTAATAATACCTTTATATAAACTAAAAGCTGCTGAAACTTCTAGCATCCTTTTCATGGTATATAATGATCTACCATCAGGCAGCTACCAAGCACACAAGAGAGTGCCAACCAGCAATACTAATAGTTGTAATGCCCTGAATGTACATATTTTGTGTTGAGAGTTTGTTCCTTGGTTGCAAGCACACCGCTTATCTTCCTACAAATTTTTCGAACCTTTAGTTGGTAATTCACGCATGACCAGGATTTGGTCGACTAATTGACGAGTGTTTTATTTCGATCTCATTTATTTGATTTTAGTTTTTCACGATAGCTTCCAAGTGCACTGATTGAGAGAGCATGGGATGCTTATTCGAGAATGCACCTCCCGGCATAATATTTGTCAATGGGTAGACATTGTGTTTACAACATTGTGTTTGTAACTAAATCGTGTTTATTGTCACCTAATGTTAGGTGCGAGCATGTGTTGCCCAGTGGATTTCCTCAAACTACGCAGTCGCTGATTTTAAGTTCGTCAACCATTTTACTATTTAACCGCTTTTGAATGTGAGGAGTTAACGGTGACATATTTTACCCTTGTGTATACAGTTTTTAATGCATCTAAACTAGAATAGTGATTCGAAGTTTGACGGAGGGTTAGAAATTCGGAATCAAACAAATAATTCCTATTCAACTTGACAATTGCCCCTGACTGATTCCTGGGTTTGGGTGAAGATTGTGTCTTCAGCCGACTGTTGCCACAGTATCTTGAATTGCCGCGACATACACGGAAACCAAGTAGTTCATGCTGAGATGAAACGGATGTGGGTTGGAATGCGGGGAGAAAGTCACAATTCACTAATGTCATACCGATGTACTTTCCTATTGTAGCTCCTCTGTCTAGTATGCTTAAGGTTACGGGAGTCATTGTTAAACCTGAGCTTACAAATCATGTTTCGAAAGGGATTGGTAAATGTACTAACCGGCTGCTGTTCCTTCGCAATATTCACACTCTACCGTCCGTTTGATCTATATATAGAAGCACATTAGGAAGGGTCGGTTGACATACACCGAATCGGTTAGCGAGTAACCCCATAAAAAGTAGCCTATACATATATTTACTAAACCATAAGAGAAGGATTATGCAAAATTTAATAAATTACGGCCCTATTCTACCCAGTCGAATTTGATAGGTGATTATCTACGTATACTTATACACCATTATGCAAATTTAAATGCAACTTACATCATTCTAATTGACGTTTCGGTCTTATGCTGTATATGTCACTGACTTAATCACTGAATGCATGATCAGCGTAGTTTTGTCCAGATACTCTATTTATGCCATCAACGACAAGCACACTTTTAGTAAGGTTCGGTTTTTACCTGGAAGGGCATTATACGTTTAGTTTGGGAAATGCAAAGAGCTGACAAATTGTCGTTATCTGCATCTGCAAGATGCTGCCGGCGTAAAATACATTACCGTAATTTCCGGGTTTTCAGCGCTCGGTGCTGACAGACACGTTTTCCAACACAATTTAACCAGCCTGATTTACGCTGGTGAAGGTGTATTAGCATGGTATTCTGCATCGCGCTGTTAGCTACAATTAAATGGAGTACGTTCCCTGGTGAAATATTGGTTACAGCACAATGTCTTCCTACAACATGTTGACAAAAGAGTAGTTGCATATTCCCGGCACATTAGCGATCTGAATAAATCCAATCCATGTTGTACGTAGTGCTCTCATACGCATGCTAAACATCAACTGTCGGAGAATTTTGTTAGAATATCCTTTAAATTTTGTCTCAATTTTAAGTCCACCAGGTAAAACATTAGATGATAAAACTTAATATATTTATAGCTGCGTTCATATCACGCGTGGTAACTAGTGAGCTGTTGCATGGGAAAATCATGGACCCCATATGATTTGGTTGATTTTGTATTTAGGCATATTTTTCTAAGAATACAAATAGCACGACTGATCCGTGGTTTGGGGACTAGGCCAGCCAATATGTGCAACCTCCCAATAAACGATAAAGTTTCCATTTGCTTTCAGGTAGTTAAACAACTTATATTCTTGCATTATAACCAAACAAACTATAACTTTTATCTGATTGTGTGAAGTGAACTTTTATCCATTTAAGTTTCGCATAGTAATCCGCATTTCAACTAATGGAAACACTAGGCTTTTAGAAACACATATAAAGATACTTGTCGGAACACACCTCCTCATCGTCTGAGAAGTTGGTTAACAAAGTTCGTTAAATATAAGTATCCAGAGAGCATAAGTGAACCATGTCTTGAGGAATTGGTTAACTTATATGTGAAGGCTCCTAATAAACGGCGCATTTCGCTTTCTGCTCCCACGTACTTCAGAAAATACTCTTCTTAGAAACTGGGCAATCCAAATCTTCGGTCGCTATAGTTTGCCTTACGCATATGTTGCCATATCCTGTATTGTCTGAAATGTGTAATCCACAAGAGAAAGACTACTGACTCTGTGAATTTGGCATAAGCATAATTGTTCGAACACACATCCTTATCATACGAAGTGTTAGTTTTCAGGAATCGGTCATTTATCTGTTCACCCTCGACAAAACTTGTGCTTCTGAACCACTAGTAGAACGCGTCAAACAGTAAGATAGTTTACTACAATTTCGCTGAAATTTTTGTGTATCTGCAATGCTGTCTTCTAAGGAATATGGTGCGATTTCCCATTACCACTGCTGTAGATTTGGGTTGCGCACTGATCAATATTTCCTGTTGAAGAGAAGAGACAATAAAGTAGTACCGTATTTTTGGTGTGACCAATTTGTGTAGCGTCCTCAAGCGTGCACCATTCTTTTCTATTTGCGCAATTTTCTCACGCTAATTGTTTCACGAAGGCCATTTTCAGCCAATCCGTACGCGTTTCAGCTTACCATATTGGTCCAGAATTTTGGAACCGCAGTAAGTTATCCACACTGTCTTGTTTATTTGCTTTAAAACTTAGCTTTAAGCAACCACTTCATTCGGTCACTTAGAAAAGTGCACATAGGCAATTCTAAGTGAGTGTTTTAACCCGACAATTGATTTTTCTATCTGGTAAAGCAATGATACGGATGCATAAATGGAAAATAGTTAGAAATATGTCGCAGTTGTCTCACGATTTAAATATATTTCGATTCCATCAAAACTCTTCGGCTTTGTGATCATTTGCAGGCATTTCAATTAATAACTATCATGTATTACATAATACGAAAGTGCCTAAGTTAATTCTTTTCATACCTACCGCATTAGGAATCATGCAGCAAGACGCATGTTTTGCTGAATAACGAATATTTTGTCAGCGTATGCAGAGTGGATTCTGTCCCAGTTGCTACTGATGAACCTTTAGCCACCACTGTAGGTTGTTTCTTAGCATAAACATAATGTCTCGTATTGCCTCTACTGCTGCAAACGAGGTACAAACACGCTAAACAAAAAGTGAACAATACAGTAGACATAACTTCAGTCTTGCTGAGTTTACGTATTCCGTGATTACAAACAAGCTCATAAGTTCAGGTTCAAGTGGGACCAGAACGGTAGGAAAATCTCCCGAATGTTCCACCTTCGAAAACATCGTTGATGCAACCAGGAATCCGGTGCATTGAAATACCAAAAGAGAAGCAAATCAACACATACGATTTACATGGTCAACTAAGCAATGCCCATGTGCTCTGCATTAGCCGTCCCCTCTGTGCCGGCCACGTGAAGAATAAAAGAAACCGACCGGGTCAGTAAAAGAAAGGAAGCAGAGGCGAAGGCAGGCTCATGGAAGTTTGTAGGCAATATTAAGATGCAAGTTAAAATGAGTTAAAGAAGAGTAGGTCGTAAGAGACGAACAAAAGTTTAAGACATCAAGAGGAAGAATTTAAACTGCAGACCGAGGGCATCAAGTCGATGTTCGAATTCTATCATCGTCCTTGCAACCACGAGGTCTGAAAGCAGTGTGTTCCAATAAGCTACGACCCTACGCGATAACCAAAGAGCTGCCCAAACGCGGTCAGACCGGGGTTTGTTCAATTTTAATGGTGAAGACGAAGGGTTGGCGCTCGGCTTAGGTGAAACAGTCCAGTCAAATCAGGACCAAGGTGCCTCATCAGTGTACGATATGTGAGGACCAAATCGCCCCGAAGCCGCCTGTAATACTTAGAAAACATGCCTCTCCGAGCACGTCAGCTTCTTTATTCCGTGCACCATTTTCTACCCGGATCGCAGGACTCTTTCAACTGCCATCTTATTACGAACCAGGCATCGAGGACAAGCCTGAAAGCAGTATTCCAAGTGCGGCCTTACAAAATCCGAAAATAGTTTAACGAACATTTCGGTGGTCATCCACAACATGATGAAACCTTTGCGAGCAACTGTAGTCCACTATTCACCGGGCTTAAAGTCTGATGACTGCAAAACGCCGAGGTCAGATTGGAGTTGAACTCGCGGTACCTCGTTGCCGCCAAGCAAATAGCGCGTCGGCGAGTCATTCGGACCAACGCGTAAAAAAGAAAGTTTTCCTAAATTAACGGCCCAGTGCCATAAAAGGCACCAGTCCCTAAGTCTATCCAGAGCCCTCTGTAGGGTCAGTGGACCAATCGGATCGCCTATCGTGAACTAGAGTTTCAAGCCAAATGCAAACATTAGGGATAACACAACAATTCTTCGGGTAGGTCATTAACGTATAAAGTGAAGAACGATGCCAATGACTGAACTTGTGGAACACCATTGATAACACGTGGGCGGAATACCAGGCTTGAACCCACCCGCACACACATATTTCCCTTCCGATTAACACATTTCTCTTCCGATTATTATTTAGTGCCGCCGATTTAATATTTCTCTTTCCTACTTTTCCCTTACATTAAACAACTTTGTTCGGCAGTCACATAGGCCGTTGATTGTTTCCCGTTCTAAAAACCCTCAGCACTACCCTGTGATTTCCACCTGTAATGGGTATTGTGTGACCACCTGCACAGTGTCCATTCTCAACCTGCTCACCCCCAAGTTGAGTATGCACGGTCTCATAAACCAAATAGCAAGGGATTATTTTTGTATTCTGTCTGAATTAAACGGTCGAGGTTTCCATATTGGGTGTTTGGTGTTACCGATGCTACATCGTATTCGATATTTTGGTATGTTGTTCGCAAAACGTGCAGGTGTCGACAGCTCTGTGCACTTGAAGTATCTACTAGCTCGCTGATTAGTTGCATTTAGAAAACAAGGTGTGGTGAGTTTTACTGAGTCCACTCATGGCGTTGCTCGATGCAAGCATCATCACTATTATATATGAAATATTGCGGGGAAGAAGCCAGAACCAACGCTTTTGTATGACGGCTTAATCCGTCTATGACATATGACGCTGTGCAACAAAACATGATAGTCTTTCCCACCATTTTGTCAGCTCACAGAACGCATATGGGGAGACTATTAACTGATATTTTTCCGGCTATTTCATGCCAGTTTGAAATCTTTCAAAACGACCATAGTACCAAACTTGGGATAAGAAACATGTTCCCTTGTTTCACTTGTTCTCGATAAGAAACATTAAACTTGCACGTATTGGATGCGCATTCGTTATGAGAAAAGAAGTGAATATTCTATATTTATAGTTAGGAGACAACAGTAATAATTTCTGTACGATATATTATTTTTTCACAACTATGGTACCGGAATAATTTGCCTCTACTCTGGGAATCTTTGGTATACATAATAATAGTAGAGCTGTGCTTTTATAACAAGGCTGGGTTCGTTTTGGAATAATTCAACATCTATGATTTTCGTCCACACGGCATTAGCGGTGGATCTATGAAATGTAAAACCAATAGGTTTTTAACAGATGAGCCTTATTTTCCCGATCCCGTCCAAATATATGTGTGTATGGTGAATCCGATGAATGAGCAATGCTCATCGCTTCTTCGGAGACACGCAAAGGTAAACCATTATCGGCAAATCCTCAGAAAGAGACGAGCCAGATGGTCAACGCATCTTTCCTAATAATTACATGAATGTTAGTTTTTCACGATGAGACATCTGTTTCTGTTACAGTTTTGACTCGAAAATAATAGTATCATTATAAATCAAGCAGAATACTCGTGCTAAATTAAATTTGAATATTACTTTTCTCCGCATTTGTGTAATCATATTCATGCCTGAGCGCATTTTTGCAATGCTCGACCAGTTGCAATTCTTCTTCTTGCCAACTGGACATCCTAGTGAGCTATTTGTTTCTACATGCTAGGAATACAGCGGCTGCAAATATTTCCTTTCGGTTGAACCTTATATAAATTTGCCAAGCTAAAGCAATGTGTTAAAAAGAATGGCGTCTACAAAACATCAGGCTGTACTAGTCTACAAACGGCTGATGTTCTTTGCTGATTAGAAGCAAAATGCACCGTCGATTATCACAAATATGGATACTACTAAAATCGCAAAAGTGTAGGATTGCGCCTCGATCAATCTCATGAGACTGGCTCTAATTTTACCTGTTGCTACTCGGTTCTGTCGACGTACCGAATGTATAAAAAGCAATCGTGTGAAGCTTAAACATTCACTAATTTAAGGTACTTAACCTTGTTTTCAGTGGTTAACCACGGCAATCGTGAACAGCTGATGAGAACTGGTAAGCGGAACGTTTATGACAGTGCCACTGTACAGTATATCAGATCAGATCTATCAGTATTTGACTAATAATAAAACCTATTTTGTGAAACTCTTGGTATGTGATCCATATCGAGTCTACCTGATATGACTAATTATGTGAGTGTGCGCATTATCCAAAGATTACTTTGAATTCACTAGCGATATATTTTCCTTTAGACCCTAGTCTACCCAATCCATAGTCAAGGTTTGACTACTAATCGTTTAAATTTATGTGCTAATTTTATAGCCGTCAAACCAGCTGCTCAGAATGTGACACGAGGTGAGTGCTTGTTAGTCACAAATATGTGCGAGTGTAGCATTGGGTTGTAGGATGATGAATTGATAATTTATGTAAATTTGGTTCCTCTTAAAAGAGATTCTTCAGAACCAAGTTTTGTGTTGCAGCTTTCATGTATATGAGAGAGCGCTGCATGACCACGGCGGCAAATTAAATCGCGTTATTTAACAAAGCAATTAAATAGCGTTATTCATGCAGTCGTGCACACAGATATAGTTGGTTTATAGTGAAACACTTACTTGCGTTTTACGCCCACTTTTAGTTCATCCCGCTGGGCGGAATTAATTCCGAAGGTGTTTAATAAGGTTACACATTCCGACGTAGTTAGATACATATTAGGGTCCAATGCTGTGTTGCCCTCTCTGTACTCATTTCGAAATAATATCACCTATCCCACCACATGACACACAGTTCACAGCATAGACGATTGTTTTATGAAACCTGTACAGAAATAATATTGTGTTAACGTAACCAGAACCATGTTTTACATTGTAAATAAGACTCGATCGAAAAGAATACGTGCGATATTACTCTTTTCAAGCATTTTCTCTATAAAACCATAGTTAGTTGTAAACATTTATTTGTTTGAACTCATTCCCAGAGGATTGATACATTCGTCCACGATTTGCGGACCCTGATGCATATAAGTGCTTCATCAGAGAATTTCACTGGAATTGTCCGGATCAATGTTTGCTTTGGAGTGGAGAGCTTCAGCCTTGTTCACCCAACTGCAACACTGCAAAATATAACCATTCCTAATATGCTTACTTTAGACGAATAATATGGGTGCCGTTTTGATGACACTACATTTGAAATGTTTGACAGCTTACAACAAATTTACTGGAATATTAATCTCTAAAAGTAACATTTGACACTTCGGTTATTTACCACCTTTTTTCGAACATGGTTCTTATGTGCAGCATTGACTCTTAGTTTCACCATGCTATAATGTAAACGACGGGCGTCTAAACGGGTTTTGTAAAGGACGCAATTACCCGCCATATGCCCAGTCATCCGTAAATTACCATGATCTATTGAAACCAACCACATCCATATGGGGATATGCGTCACCCATTTGACGGGTTGATCAAACCTACCTCTGCGACTATAATGGACTGTGTCACGGATTTTGTCGTAAAGAGTCAAAGCTAATTTATTTGTTTAGCTCTTAAAATTGGTGGCAACAATGGCATAATGTTTTCCTTCCTTAGCGAAAAGGCGAAGTTGTAAAACAATATTTAGTAACACGGAAAATGTATCCTTTTAAATATCTATATTATAATCAGTTTCTTTAAAAAAAGATAAAATTCAATGCGGCCTATTAATTGAAAGGCATTCAGCTTCGTCCACTTATATGAAGCCGATGATAATTGACATCAGTGCATATATAACCATTAATAATTTCGCACGTAATTTTGGAAATAGTGCAAGCGCCACTGTTAAAATGTAGAGGGAAAACTAATCGTCATTAATAAGTAAAACCCGACGTTTGCTCTGGGATGTTAAATAGAGGCGACGTTTTGAATACAGTGCACGCCAGCACGCATATAGTGTTATTCAACGAGCTGCTGTCATGCTTGGCTCTGTACACATAGATCCGGCCGAAACACGAATGAAATTAGAACAGTTACATACAATGCCTTGACCAAGTTACAGCTGTCATTTCTGCAACATCACATCTTCAATAAAACTGAAGTGGTAGCTTACGCATTAGGTAAAGACCAAAATTTTCTAGCACCAAAGTGATATGCAGCTACTTCAAAATATTTAATGAAAAGCATGTGGAAATCGGTAATAAATAAGATCTTTTACTCACTGACTTGCTTAGAGGCGACAGTGGTTAGTCTGTTTGGACGACACGCGTTTTGTTATGTTGCTGCAAGGATTTACTGTTCATTGAGGTAATGAGTCTGTAGGTCATTGAAACCGGTGGTGGAATATCTGAAGTACTTATTGGTATTGAACATGCAGATGCTGTAACTGAAGTTAGGCTGGATGTTATACATGGCGAAATACATGGGAATTTTACGTCAATATCCATGCATAATCAGAGTTTCATTATTCCTCAATGTTTGGCATCCCATATGGTCATGACAACGCAATCATTGCGAGAGATAACTTGTAACAGATATTACCGTAACGTTGCAATTTTAGCTGAAATTTTACTGGTTATTTGTACTTAACGGTTTGAATATATACGCAGACAAGGAATGCGAACAGATGTAGACGTTGTCAGGATAGCAGCATGTAACATAAAGGAATTGGGGACATTTTGTTAGTCACCACCATGTACAAATAAACCATAGCGAAAAATATGTATAAATCTATGGATGTACATATTTCCAGTCATCGGCGTACACTTGGCGAATTTCAATGTTTCTACTTGTCACGGGGACCGTCGAGAACAATTACTGCTTTCTGATATGGATGGATAAACCAATTAGTAATACGGTCTAACAATGTACAACTTATTACATGCAAAAAACTGATTCGTTTAAATGTGTCCGTATTTGATGGCCCTAACCCAAAAGTTTGAGCTTGATGCGGAATTTCGCCACAGGTTTATAAACGAAAAAAGCGAACCTGTTGATTATGTGAGCATAGAATGGAAATACTCTTCTAGAATAAACAAGATTCTTACTCTATTCTCCTAGGAGAGATCACCTGAGGAATCGTTTCAACAAGTGCCAGACTACATATGATGGGTTAATATAAATCATTTCCCGCAATGAAATACACCCCTAATGCAGTTACTATCCACTGACTCAAGCAGTGTACATTGCTTTGAAACATACCTGGGATTACCAGTATCCTTCAAACAGCAAGAACAGTGAAAAACCGTTTAGCACTAACGCAGAAGTATGACATATTCTGCAAAATATGGTCTATGCCAAATACGGACAGCATTTCAAACTCGACGAGGGATATAACCATTGTCATGATTGATGGCAAATACAGCGATTTCATCGCTACATATCCGGTTGTCCCAGATGCTGTGTTGCTTTCTGACGTGCACATCCTGGTCATATACTGAAACCCTTGTTCTATATTACAAGATTAACCAGTTAAGGCATTCTGAGGAGGTGGGCGATTTGTAACTTTTGGCTTTTACCACAAGGAGTAAGAAGGCTGATGACAGAGAGCCACGATATTGGAATGCAGTGTTTAGGTAGATCCATGGCAAATACCTCAACCGCAACAAATGCGTCAACCCCTTGACGCAGATCGAGAACCCATGCAGCATATTTTGGCATAGCTTCACTGAGTCATGACTGTTCCCTGCACAATTCATATTTCTATTGTCACAGAGTTTGTATGTAAAATAATGGCTAATATAACTATGCCAACTTTCATATGATGTGCTTCGGAAGCAATATTCCAAAACCATGTGTTTCATAAGTTATTACGCTTCATATAAATTTCGCTCGGTTGGGTTCTATATGCTAACTTTTTGAAACTAGGACGTTTGGTAGCATTGTAACGCAAACATTTTAAATTATACCAAGAATCTTTGCGCGGTGATAACTTTTGATCTTTTAGTTGTCGAAAATCAACAAATAATCTGTAAAACGCGTAAAGATTGCTTGCTCTGCTGAACGGTACGGCGGAGAAGAGTACAATTGCAGTGGTATCTTGGGCCTTGTGTACTCTTACCAAGGAGTTGTCACGTTGCAGGTTTAACTGCTGTCATCTCAGCTTACGTTTAGAAATGCTTTGCAACATGACTAATCAAATATATTGTCGTCAGTAAAGAAATTACTAGTCAATTAACTTCCAGGCATGCAAAAAGATCTTGCCTCATGAAAATCGTCAAATTGTGCATGGTGGCATTTCCCATGCCCCCAAACTTCTGGGTTTATAAGATTCCATCTATTTTTGTTGGTTACACATCTGCAAAGCTTACTGATATCCGTAATCATCGGCATTAATATCCTCATTGCACGCCAGCTGAAGCTGAAGAACCCAATTTACTTAACAATGTCGGAAGACAGAGAGATATGTAAACAATCGAAATTCACGAACTCAAAAGGCTCTAATCTGCTTGGTAACATATTATGCTACAAGACTTTGACACTTTATTGTGTTAAATAATTAGATGTGGATGGATAGGAGAACTCATGACACAAAGTTCATTGATGTCGGCTCCTTGCTATGCCAGCGTGTGTATCCCGCAAATGTGTTCATCTTTCTTTGGACCTCAGCCCCACAGCCCGAAGACGATAACCGATAAAAAGTTCGAAGTAACGAAATTCATTCTGTTTGTCAAGTCATTGCTTGGCATTCGCTCCGCCTTTTCCAATCACACCTCCGGCTCGCAAAGAACGCGCAACACGCGATATATACAGCAGAGCTTAATGCTTGAAATAATGCTGCTGAGCTGTTCACTCCCACTTCCTGCACTTAATTCACCGCGCCGAACCCGTTCATTAATTTCGTGGAGTCCCCACTGTTAATGTTTGAAACAACGACGACAGCCACGGTGGAAGTTCACAAGGCCCTTTACGTCTGTCGATCTGAGTGGCTTAGATTCTTATCAGCACAGAATGAATGAACGGACGTCTGCATTATTACCTTCCCCCTTCAGATCGCCAGTCATGGAACATTAGAGACACAGGAGGCGTATTTGAGCAAAAGGCATATAGAATTTGCTATACGGTGAGAAATCTCATCGTCAATTGCACGGGCATTAACATACCCACGAATTGGCCTGAATGCCTGGACAACGTCATACTGCTCACAGCTAAGACCCAGTGAGGAGTTTGTCCTCTCCAATCTAGATGGACTTGAATTGCAAATCTACTAAGTCTGGTTGAACACGATTGCTTATATTTCAGTGCTGCTTGGCTTAGTTTGGTAGCTGTCATAGAAAAGCAACTTTGTCTGAGTATTCCAAGTCAAAATTATTTAGCCTGGAAACAGCTCCACAGCTTAGTTGTTGCAAGTGATCCCCCTTTCTTTGACTTCGTAAATGGCGAATTTAAATGGACAGTTGGCAGTGGGCAAACTTCTCTCCCACCCTCGACAGTTTGCCATAATCCCTCACTAGGTCCGCTGATGTCCATCTTGCACATTACTTGGTGGTAGTCAGGTGAATTGCATTGTGTCAAAGAATGAACCGGCAGGCTGGCGCAAGTTGCAGTATGTGTAAGGTTGGAAAGTATTAGAAGGGCCAACGGCTATCAAATGTGTACATGCATTCATTCTTATACTTGTAAAGATAAGGGGTCATTTTCTTTTCTAATGAATCAGAATAAACATATACTTAAAGCTATGTGTGCCTGCCTGATTGGATATCGGACAATGTAATCAACTCATCTATTAGTTAAGTGTTATTCTCCTACATGGTGCTCTCTCCTTATGCCTTTGTCGAATGATTGCAACAAAATGTAGCATACTTTTATTGAAAATATGGAGTGTTGAATGTCACTCTGAAGTTAACCACGACTAACTTACACTTTATTTTGGGTTTATGTTTCTGCCTACATCCGTTGGCTTTATTGGTTCCTGCTACATATACGCCGTAGTAAAATAAACTGATTTCGTCCACATTAAAATTGCTGGGATCCAGGGAGGTTAATTACAAAATTAATTGTACTTTTATCCTCAAAACGTGTGTTTGAATTGTGAATATTTTTCAAGGCAACACAAGAATTGGAAATTTCGTACCTTACTTATTCTGCGTTTCCTTGTATTTGCTGGAGTTAGAATTGAGTTAATAATTATTACCTCATTTATTCAATTTTCTGAGCGATAGATAATAAATTGTAAGTACGCTGGGCATATAATCGGCGGCTTAAGCTTTATCCCTATTGTTTTCTAGTGGGTTCCGACCTAGATATTTCCTCAATCGAAAATGAGTCCTAATTGTTTTGACCTGCATTTGCGAATATTGCACTGAATCCCAATTTAAGATTGATGCTTTCATATTGTGTTTACACAAGTTAATTCTCAAACGGGAATACTGATTGCCGTGAAGGACAAGAGCACTGAGTTTTTCTACTATATAAAGAGGTAGATGCCAAGAGATTGTCTACACAAGTTTCCTATACATAAGACATTTATATTTTCGTTTGATGTATTTGAGTTCGGTGCTATGCTCTGCCAATGTCATGGTGTAACAAACAAAGTCAAATCGAGTAGCTGGATCAAGAATTACAATCGAGTTCCGAAACAGCCTTATTGCGCAAATGGAATTGCATTACCGTTTTTGCACGCTTCTCGCCAGGTTTAAACTTGAGACTTAGGAGTGATGTGCAATCAATTTCGCGGTTTACTCGGTTGTACAGAATTTGAACGGAAATGATCCGAGAGAATTATTTATTTGCTTGACGGGATTCACTGAAAAAAGTGAGTAATTATATATTAAGCATAAAAAGCCAAGACTTGACAATTCCAGTGGGATGGTTTGTGAAATTAATGTTGGTTCAATGAAGTCACACAAAAGGAAAAACACATCCGTGAAGTCACCATATTATCCACGTTAACACAGATATGTCCGTCTACCCAATTTCGTGGGTTTGGTGAGCACATTGTTTGCCTTCCTCCAATTGTCACTAAATATTTGAAATCAGATCAAGAAATATAGGTGTTGTACAGCACCAACAAGTTTTTCAGAAGTGGGTAGCGGATCGCGATAGTGAGGAAATTTGGAGGAGCTTTCCTCGGTTGAAAAACTTTAATGGATAAGTAATTTCGTCGACAAGTTACCCGACTGTTTCGCTTGGTAAACTTTTATTTATAAACCCTCGATTATGTGTTACATCTAATCCTCAGGAGTTGGCGACAAGCAAGTTTGGGATTTCTCAAAATCTGGAACGCCAGGATGAAGATGCCCCGTAAACGACGATACCTTCCGCTTTACATTCCTAAGTCTTTACGTCAGCTATTTAAATGCAGGCGGGGAAAATCTTCCCATTTATTTGTCCGTCACTTGTCGTCTTCAGTGCAACGAGTTCGCCTTTTAACCAGGTTTTCCAATCCTGGTTCTTTCACTCTGCATGGGGCCTCACATATGCATTGAGCATTGGGGTAAGATGGAGGGTTCTAGCCTCCCGAACATTCTTCTTAGCAGACAAACATGTTGGTTCATAGTTTTGGACGCCTTTAAATCTGCGCTGTGCAGCCGAGGTCGTCTTGGATTACCACCCCGATAACTAGTGTAGGTCAAATATTCCTGTCATTCTATTTTGTTTTTCAGGGTCAGAGACCACACAACCTCCGAATAAGAGTGATAATGTGACTGTGATGCAAGTAGCCGCCCGTGCAAACATCGAAAGCTTTTATCGAGGACTAAAATCCGTTTCGGTATGCATGTCTCCAAAATGAGTTATTGCCTGCATCCTAGTAAATAGGACATAATCAGTGCGGCTTACAATTAAAAAAGCTGTCCATTTTCTAGGCACTGAAAACTGTAAGTTTTTATCCGTTCGAGTTTTGATTTAATTATAAATGCGTAAGGTTCCAAAGCATTTCCAGTTGACGACACATGTAAGTGACCAAGAAAGACATATGATATACATTATTCATTCATTTAATGAAACGAGGTTGGAAAATCACGCAACTGTTATGGCGTTGAAGTATTGCTTCCTGCTTTATAAAACGCAATAATTTATAAGCGGCCGCAGTGTAACCTGCTAACTTGAAATCTATACTGGACCGGCAGACGAATGAAAACTTATGTGCCAGATAAAATATGGAAAAGATGCATTTTAAATCGCAAAATTTGAGTTGCTGCGATATCCATTCCATAGTTATATATGCAGTATGTATGAAACCGTTAATGTGTACCAAGTAATTGACAACATATGCGCCTCAATCATTTCGGAGTATTAATCCGCATTTTTATGCGAGGACTCGGATGCAAGTTGAGGAAGAATTCTGTGGCAATCTTTGTCCGGGTTATCTTATCTATGCCAATGTTTTTGGTTTCCAATATTGTTAATGCATTATCAATGCGACTGTGTTCATCGAAGAATTATTCGACTAATTTATATCCGGTGGCTTATCACTACTTATAATACATATGCTTCTTATATAAGACGCTACGTTAATATAGGGCACTTAACATTAACGGACCGTGATTAATTTTGCCTTTCTGTGGTATGCATACACCATAACAGATTGCGAAGCCATCTGTGCTAACCGCAACTAATGTCCGCGACTCGGTCAATGATGAACATTGTTGCCTTCATTAGCTGTCTGGTCTATGGCATTTAGGAATTTATAAATGTGGAAATGCAGTAGCATTTAATTTGTTGTAGGTGTTTCCTTGAATTAACTGAACCCCTACTTGCTATGTCATGTTTGCAGATGCTGACACAAGAGATAAGAAGAAGAAAAGGAAAAGTGAGTTTCCGTTAATTATTGCGACAGCAATTTATTTAGCATTGACAATGTCGAAATATTCAAGCACTTGCTTCCCTGTTGATCGATATCGTGCTTTGCGTGTATATGGGATACATGTTCGCGATCTGATAAGCTTACAAAGTTTCGAGACGTAAAGTGGGTCTGCGGCAGGTCACCCGTGAAGCTGATGAAATCAGCCCATCACTTGCATTGTTCCTAAGATAGTTTGGTCTAGCAGGAATCGTTGTTTTGTTTCTTACCCTGCTGGGTTAGCCTCGGAGTCAGCAGGCGCAAGTTAGTGTGGACCTAACTTGGCGTATAATTTATTGTGAGTGGATAGTTGAATTAAGTGAACCACTAATTGCTATGCCACAGTTAAAGATTCGGACACAACAGAAAAAATGAAAATATAAGTAGGTTTCCGCTAATCATTGTGACAGCAATTTTCTTAACTTGTACAATGCCAAAGTAACCAGGTACTCACTTCCATCTTGAACGAGCTCCGGTCTTGCGAGTAGATTTTACACATGGATCAACGTTTATTGGATGTGTACAACAAACTTCATGCCCATGTTGGTATTTACTACAGGACCATGAAAAGATAGCTGCTAAACGGAATGAGGACACTTATAAACGACCACAATTACGAGTTATCTTTATTCCCTTCATTTGCGTGATAGTGCGTTCGCCATTCAGCTACATGTCCAGTCCAACATACCGGTTCCTTCTAGCATTCAGCTGATTACGGAAGAGTAGTAGGGGGAGTTGAATGTTATAGGTAGAAATTCGTCACATTTAGACTCAAGCAGAAAGCTGCCACATACCCGGCAAAGCACTATACGCGCGTTTCATCCTTTCGGGAATCATCAGCAGTGCGCATTCCATCACACCCTTGGTAGTGCTCGAACCCGCGACTCGACTGTTGCCAGTCCGTGGTTGAGACCACTGAGCTACGGGGACGGCAGCGACCATCGTGAATACGTAACTAGTTAGTATCTCCTACGAAACAATGCACGAAGGCCATACATAATGTGGAATAAATTTTGCGTACTTTATCCGAAACGGTTTAGTTCAAGTTAAATAAAAATGCTGCTGTATCTATGTGTTTGAACTAGGACCTATAGCCATTCTGCATGCTCCTTCAAAAACAGGCCAAAGTAATTGCGGGCAGAATTCGCTACATTACCTATGGAGGTATCATATAGCCATTCAGGTTGCCTCACGCCATGGAAAACTTGAGAGCAGTTACGTTAAATACAACAACAATTATTTCGACTGCTTATTGTGGGTTGAACATTTGACTTCAAAACGATAATAAAGATAATAATTTCGCGGTGGATTTCCACTACATTTGTTGTTTTCTAAGACTTCTGAATATTGCTAGCACCAAGGAAAAATAATCATGAGATCCTGCCAGTATGTTTAGGCTTAAGATACGAAAACATTCGCAGAGTTATTCGCAGCAAAGAGGTATGCACATATGCAGTAGAAACATCATTGTTACACAGAAGCTAAAGCATTTTGCGTGATACTTTTGATTTTTCTCGCTTCCTATTATTCAAAGCTAAACCAGTGCGTTGTTTTCAGAGGATAAGGAGACGACCGAAATTCCTACCGCAATGCAGCCCACGCCACATCCTCCACCAGGTAAGGAGAAGCAAACAGTATCATCATCATTAGGATAACGAACATCTGCAAAGCAAACGTTTCTCAAGCCAGACAAATGCTATATTCAATCTCACATCCTGAATTGGAAAATATTAAATGGCAGGTTAAACAACTGACATTACAGACAGCTTACAAATTTTGGGCATGCAGTTTCATCAAATACCGAAATATGCATCAGAAAATTTTCTGCCAATTTCATTTTCGTCTGCAAGCTAAATTAACTTGAAACCACTATTCATGGACTTCATTTTTGGTTAAGTTTTCCGGTCTATTCTTTTATCTCCATTTCTTACAAGTTTATCGCTAGATATTACCAAGCTACATAGCTGCTTCGCAATTCCATTATGACATTACATTTCGAACTGCATCGAGGTGGAGTATCATGATATAAAACTTAATTTCTGTTCAGATGAAAATCATTGACAATGCATTTATCATAAATGCACTTTCATTAGCAATACCCTAGCCTCTAACGATCACAAGATACATAATTTTTACACCGTTTCAGTAATTTCTTCTTCATCAAACCGATCATGTTTACTGAGACATCACAAACATTTTAATATGTATGTTACGTTGATGTGGAGAGATTATCGTATATCCAACCCCTGCTGTTTTAGCTGAAGTCAGAAAACTGTCACAAGCTCGCGAACCCCGTAAGTCTGACGAGTTCTCATACGTGATTTTTCGTACATATCGGCCAAACCGTTCTATGTATTACCGTAAACTACTGTTGTAACACGAGTCTGTTAATGATTGCCGGCAATACTGATGCAATCCGCGTAAACAAGATTTATCGCCATTCCCTACAGGCATTGCCATTCGCTACAGGCATGCACGTTGGCGCTTGTAAGGGGCATCAACATCCAAAATTTTTAATCACCAGCTGAGACAACGAAAGTGCACAACGCTTTAATGGAAATGCACTTCCAACATTCACGAGTATCTATCAACGAAAGGTGTTGCAGCTAATCATCACCAAACTTCGAATGTCGCTGTTATTTTCCTGTAGAGGGTTCAACCAAGGGTTGGATCCGAAGCATAACACGTAAATGGATCGACAGCAGAAATGATATTTGGAAGCAACATACACTAAGCCCATGTGACAACACAAGGCAAAATTACATACCAATCAGAAACTACTGTAGATGAGTTATTAGGGCAGACAAGTAAGAATGACAGGATAACATGTTACTCAAGTTTGCGCGATACAACCAACTGCTATATTGGTATGTGAACGAGAACAGAAAGGTTATAACTGGTATACAACCACACAACAAGGCCAGTCGCTTAACAACTACTGCTGTGGGTACCGTGAAAGCTCTGTTCCTGTAGTTTGTATGGGTGACTACGAATATTACGGAACTTTTTCTCTACCAAGTCCCAACAAATGCCGTCTGTTTATTCAGTGTCACCTTTAATCCAGAGGCAGTCGTGAAAACATTGCAATCTCTCCAGAATAACAGTGTTTCGGAAAGCAACAAGGTCTGACCAAATGTATTTAAACGCTTGCTTCTACCAAAGCAGTATATGTTGCTGCATATTTTCGTGTCTGTTTGACTACCATACACTCCCATCATTGTGGAAACGTGGAATCATCACACCGCTATACAAAATAGGCAAGAGGTAGGATCCAGCGGAATACAGACCTAGTTCGCTCCTACCTGTTTTACTAAAGGTGACGGAATCCGTAGTCGCAGAATAACTAAAACGATAGTTTGAAAGTGCGAATGATTTCCAATGTCTAACACGGTTTCAGAAGAAGACGAGGTCGCGTCAACAACCTATTTCTTGCCCGGAGTTAATGGACCAGTGCAGCTGATGTAGGATTACTCATAGATATATTTTCCATTGTATTCGATAGGGTCACTCATTTTGTTCTCCTACAGAAGCTTGCTGTCAGTGCTATCAACGGTTACCTGCTTACCTGGTTGAAAGATTATGAACAACACCGGACCATTAATGTAAGCATAGTTAACCTTCACTCCGAAAGCTTGTGCGTTTCCAGCGGTGGACCTTGAGGATCCGTCCTCGGCCTGATCCTGCATTTATTTTACATAAAGGACCACCCAGGAAACATCTAATCTCAGATGTAGATATTTGCATATGATGCTAAAATATAGAAGGCAATTGGTTAAACCCCCAGACCGTGCTTATCTCCAGATCGGTCTGGACCAGATTAACGAATGGGCAGAAAGGAAATAACTCCCACTAAACGGTGCAATGCGCTACCAGCTAATGGTGCGTAGCAAGTTCAGCAACGCATATTTTTTGTGGCAGCACATTTTGCAACAAGTGACTACTGAATAAGAGTTATGCGTAATCGTCCAAGTCAGTCTTGGTCATTTGTTCCAATGGTCAAAAGTAGCAAAGATGATGAACTTGAACTTGAGAATTTTAAGACAAGCTCTCGGTACCGTAGAACAATGGACAGTACAATTGTTGATAAACACATCTTTGTCCCCTGGTTGAATATGCGATTTAGGCGTGTTGGGCGTGGCCAGAAACAGATATTCTTCTCGTGGAGCAATTGCAAAGAAGGACTACCATGGCAACAGTGGACCATCCGTCTCAGCTACGAACTGCACCTTCGTTTGCTTGGTGTCTTCTCCTCGTCCTCATACGACGGATACTGACAGAAAACGTGCACGCATGTGCATCACTGCTAACCCTAGCCTCGTGCAAACAATGCCGAGGCTATAAAATAAAACTAATAACACAGCATGCCCCTTTTGATTGTAGGAAGTAATCTTACTTTTAAAACCTGTTTACACTGGAATTCACTAACAACACATGTGGTGAACTTACCAGAACTTAAGATGTTCGTGAGACTGCTAGGCTTTTATCTTAGTGCTAAAAGCAACACAAAAGTATGAAAATTTGCCATGTCTTTATTGCTGATGATTCACATTCCACGTTGGAAGTGTTTGGTTTTATTATTCGCATGCATTTTCCATCCTGTTGGTCATGTAAATTTATGCTTTTTATCCCATAATACACTAAGCAAGTAATGCACTTCTGCAAACCAGGATTCCTAACTCTACAATTGTCTCCTTCCAAGGCTTCGAAAGTGTGTCACAAATGCATCCGAACTCATCCGGTGAGTCTAAATCCACGGTAACGTCCTTGCTTGCCTAAGTTCCACGGTATGGCAGCATGAACACCATGACCTAGTTTTTTGAAAAATTTAATTACTCCGTTCAAGGAGCAGATCCAGCAAATGCCCTTTCAGGCGCACTCTATCAGCGAGTACTTTTGCTCACAATTTACGATGCTGTGCGACATGTTTTATAATTCATCGACAACAGTCGTGCTCATCCTGTTTAAGCATCGTAAAATTATAGCTCAGGTGTATTTGAGCGATGTCAAAAAGTACTCAGCCCCACGAAGAGTCCAAACATTTTAAGAAGAAAGGCTTTTAGTAGCAATAATTTAAAATGTCGGTTGTTTTCCATACTCTTTATCGGTGAAGGTTGCAGTAAGGAAACATTTATCCGAAGAGGCATACATTTTACCCCGTTTCATTGGTGCCGGAAACGGTAACTTGAAAACAGTTAACAGAGACATAAACGGAGCAGGTAGACAGTCCGCCACATTCCAAAAATCCTCAGCGTGCGCTTGCGTCGCGCTTCTGGCTGAATTTGAGAAGCGAGTGAGAAATGATCGGCCAGCAACAAATACCCGCCTGCTTCAACGGAAGCGAACTATTCCGTCAATATGAGTAACCCGTGCAGCGGGATTCACTCACGCCGGCGGCAAACCAGCGGCAGAATAATGAGTGACCTAGACCTCCTAAATTAGAAAGCTGATCTATTCTGCTGAGTTACGTTGTCTACCGAGTTCTGGCCTTTTGTGTTTCTTCCGTTGGCTGCGCTCGTGCCCGGGCAGCCAGACAGTCGCCGTCTCACATGACAGGAAAGCGAGCAGAACAAACATTGGTAAATGGCAGAGAGCAAAGAGAAAGAAGCAGTGGTACAACGGTTGCGACTCGAGCTTCAAACGAACGCAGCATGGCAGTTAGCTCCGAACAACTGCAGGCAGTATTGCAGCATTTCAAAAATTCACAGAGGCAGCTGATCGAACTTCTATCAAGAAAATTTAGACACGCAAGTAGAATGGAAATCTGATAAGGTTTTCATCCCAACAGTTCACAAACTACATGGCAGAGCCTAGTCCGGAAAAGCGCCAGACGCGTTTCGCCCTATTGGGGCTCGTCAGTGGCGCACATTCCCTCGGTCCTCTAATGAGGATCGAACCCATGACCGCTAGAGGCAGATGCCAACTAGCCAGCAGCTAAAGCCACTAAGCCATGGGGGACGTTGGCTAGGCTACATAATTTGCAAACTAGCTGGGATAAAGCACCACCTATCTACCACTGTCACAGACAGTGGTTAGCCTGCAAGTTGATGACGTCCTCTCACTAGACGCTACATCTATAGCATTTGAAACTAGGAGGGGCAATTTGATTTTATAGTACTCATTAGTAGCAGGATTTTAGTTGCCTCTTCTAGTTTCAAATGCTATAGATGTAGCGTCTAGTGAGAGGACGTCATCAACTTGCAGGCTAACCACTGTCTGTGACAGTGGTAGATAGGTGGTGCTATATCCCAGCTAGTTTGCGAATTATGTAGCCTAGCCAACGTCCCCCATGGCTTAGTGGCTTTAGCTGCTGGCTAGTTGGCATCTGCCTCTAGCGGTCATGGGTTCGATCCTCATTAGAGGACCGAGGGAATGTGCGCCACTGACGAGCCCCAATAGGGCGAAACGCGTCTGGCGCTTTTCCGGACTAGGCTCTGCCATGTAGTTTGTGAACTGTTGGGATGAAAACCTTATCAGATTTACAACTGAAATCCTGCTACTAATGTGTACTATAGAATGGAAACCGCAAATAAAGCTAACATTTCAAAAGATTATTTCAGTATGCCAGAGGTTGTTCAAATTGATTCATGGTAAAAATATGGTTGACAATTCGGAAGTCAGGGAACAGCTAAAATTCTGTCATACTGCCACTTCAAAACCTGATGTGCCCATCATACCCAAGAATTCAAGGTAATAATCAACGGCAGTCGTATTACGCATGTCAATGGACGCCACGCAGTCATACTCCAATATAGTCCAGAATGTTACAAAATTACCAGTGCTGCCCTGAAACTCAATTCAGTCACTAAACCAGTAACCAGCGCAACGCGCCTTCAGTCCAGTCGGGCAGAGAGGCATTGCATTATCATGGGGGGAAAAGTGGACAGGGAGCGTGCGTCATTTCAAAATTAGGAACTTGGTGTACTTACTAGACTTCCGAGGATCGAGGATGTGGTCGACAGGAAGAGTGATCTGCAGAAACGGTTAGGCCATCCGTAACGTAACGTTAGGAAATGAGAAATGGGTCAGGCAAACCAAGCAGCTGAGGCGGAATAACTGCTAGACTTAAAGTCCTCAATAACCGTCATCCCTAACTAGAGATATCCTGCTAAACATCTTTTCTTTTGAATACGAAGCTTGATGGCTTCCTGAATCACAACATAAGATGCAAGCAGCAAATAACGCACAATACAAACCGGCAATAAAGCAGGGACGACCACCATGGCTGCAAGTTGATCCTTAAGCGATAACATATGAACGAAGCCGAGTTCGAAAGGTACGATGGCAGATTCAAATCCGAAGGGTAAATAGGCGTAAGTGGAGCATGTAGGCTGTTAGCTACATGCAAAAATCCTTAGTGGGCGCGTGCCAAGAGCTTTGAGCATTCCGCTGAATTCGTGAGCCGAGTGATAAATGATCGGTCAGCAAACACTGCCCTGCGTCAACAGAATCGATCTAATCTGTCAATATGATAAATACGTATAGCAAGATTCATTCACCCTGGCTGAAAAACAGACGCAGAATATTGAGTAACCTAGACCTTCTTAATAGGCATGTTTCGGTTACCAATAAATATAGTTGATCCATACGGTAGATTTACTCTGTCTATCGAGTTCCGGCCTTTTGTATTTCTTCCGTTGGCTGGGTCAGTGATTGGGCAGTCAGACATTCGCAGACACACAAGGCATCAAAGGAAGCAGAACAACCAGTAGTCAGTAGCTGACAGAAGAGGGAAATAAACAGTGGTACAACAGTGGCGACGCGAGCTTCAAACGAATGCAGCATGGCAGTCAGCTCCGAACAACTGCAGGCAGTTTTGCAGCAGTTCGAAAATTCACAGAGGCAGCTGATGGAATTTCTATCACAAAATTAAACATTCAAGCTGATTGGGGGATTGCAAATGAAGCTAACATTTCCAGAAATTATTTTAGTACACCAGAGGTTGTTCATCTTGAATAATGGTAAAAATATGGTCGCAAATTCGGAAGTTAGGGAAGAGCAACACTTCTGCCACAGTGCCACTTCAAAACTGATGTGCCCATCAGACCTAAGGATGCAAAGGTAGAAATCAACGGCAGGCAAATTACACATGTCAACAGACGCTAAGTAGTACTGCAATCTGGTCCAGAATGTTGCAGAACTACCAGTGCTGCCCTGGACCTGAAATCAGTTACTAAATCAGTATCCAGAGGAACGTGCCTTGCTCCAAACAGGACAGAAAAACACTGCATTTATCTTACAAGCGTTATCATGCGACGTAACATCCCACGCACAACACTTACACGTTGCTAACAAATATAAACTAGACGTATGAAAAAGACCGGGTCGTGTCATCATGTTCAGGGTAGGCTGCACTTTTGGACGCGAAGCACCGGTTCATTCCGGTTTACTGCGAGCGCCTCAGCAAATCGCAGACGCCACGAATTGGTATGACGCTGTAGAATTTTGAATGAAGCGTTTATCTCCACCAGATGACCTGAGGTCAATAAGTGCCTGGCGATTAAAATAACAGTGGCTTGTGTGCAAATGCTGTCTGACTTCTGCTATCTCGCTTTGAACTCGTTTCGGCAAGTGCTCTTTTATGCTGGAACTTAGGGTCCTATCAATTCTGCCTAAGTGCCATGCTCCGCATTTACACACGAATTGTTACTATTTACTGGTTGAAAGCAGCAATAAGAGATACCTCTGTGTGGCTGCATATGATGTCACTTAGAGACAAAGACCTGATATGGTGGAGTGCGCTCGATACATTTTATATTGGCAAAGTTTTTGTACAGGAATCTTTAAATTGCGACACCGACTTTGCCTCAACTACGTGCTGCGGCAGATTGTTCCATACATCTGGCACTCTGCTTTCGAATTATCGTTGATGAGCGACCCGCATCAGATCCAGTACTATTTGCTTGTACCGGTGACATTATGTGCTGCTTAAAATGCGCCGATGAAGCAGCGGCCTCAAACTGACGTAATGACCCAGGTGTAATATCCCGTGGATCATAGTGATTTCAATCCTCAGTCGACGATAAGCTATGATGTAGCACCGTAGTTTATTACCCCGCTCATCCTGCGGCACATTTCGTATATTGGGAATCAGCCTGGTGGCCACATACTGCACTCGCTCTATATTTTCTACTTCCCCCCGGTGATAGTACAATACACCGGAATGCCATCCTCTACCGTAGGTCGTATTATTGTGACTGAGGCGAGTGGTCATCTTGTTGGACAAAGATTGGAGCTGCGCCTGAGCGCCCATATTATACGAACGCTGTTTTGGTAAAGCCTATTTGTGTTGTCCATGAACCTAAGGTCGTAGCATGAAAATACACAGTGGTCTGGCACGAATGGCGCGGGATGCAATGGTTGATCTGCCAACGTGTAGTTTCCACTGTGCTTAAACTTACTCAGCCTAATAAATTGCGACTTGACCAGGCTGATCAGAAGACTGAGCTCTGCAGACCACCTGAAGAGGCAGTCGAGGTCCTACTAAAGCAGGTCACAGTCGCTGGGTGCGCCGATTACTCTCCACACCTTCAAGTCATCTGTGAACAACGCATAAGTTGAATGGACTAGCTGGCGCACCGACATCTGCTCAATTGCAAATACGGAAGAGAATTACGCCGCCAATGCGGACGCACAATTTGTGCACGGACTTAGGGGCTGGCCATCTAAGCCTTTTAATTCTGGCAGATTGCCTGCAATCCTAAAGTGTCGTTTCACGTAGAGAAAGGTCCTCTTGCGAGC